ACGTTATGCTGTCAGCAACATAATAGCAAGGAATGATTAATCCATCAATCATTCTATCTTGAGCATTATGACGAAAATATAACGGCAACAAAAAAACACATGTAACGATATCCATCCGTTGTTGCGTATATGTTTTCAAGCTATAAAGTTTTTTTAATCGATGCCATTGTAATTCATTGCTAACAAAATGTTATCGCGAAAATTATTCACCCGCGAGCATTATGCATCTCCGCCGATAGAGGGCCATGGCGGAGATGCATTAACTCGGAAAGTAAGAATCACATGGGAAAGAATATAAGAAGCGCAGCATTTCGCACGATGGAATTCTAATTCCATCATGACAACAACATGATGGCATCTTGAATTGATGCCAAGTGAGTTCAAGATACCATCATGCTGCTGTCAACCGCTGCAATAACAAATGTTGACAAACTAGGGACAAGGTGCTTCCTCATTATGTGTGAAATATTGTCCTCATATGAATTCTAAATTTGATTATGGCAAAATTGATAGCATCTTGATGGCATCACTTTGTTATACATATATAGCACATATAACTCATTGTTTGGTACATGTTGCCATAATGTTGCTGTAAACATGCTATTAGCTGCAGATAGCATGTTGATGATAACAAGTTGCCTTTAAATTGCTGTCTTTGTAATTAAAATTCTATTGAGTTCAACGTGACAGACACAATGCTGTTTTACCTTGTCTCAATTAAGTTTATCGAAATTAGTCATTGCAATGATTTTCGGGAACATATCAACAAACTTGCTACATTTGGCTATCTGAGATGCAGTTTAGGTTACATCTCACCGATTTAAGTGTCCTTTAAATATGTTGTAAGAGAGAATGTCCTAAGTGATTCCCTACAAGAATTAAATGAAGGAAGGGAGCATTGGTTTAGGTTTAGAAGATAAAACTTCCATAATATGTAGGGTATGACATTGATGTATGATATTCCATGCAAAACGAGATTTGCCCCATTTTCCTCCCTGCCGAGGGGCGCACGACTTTCCACAATTTCTACGCGAAGTGAGGTTCACTCCATTTCTCCCCTGCCTAGGGGTCCACGACTTTCTACCGAAGCGAGGTCTATTTCACCTTCCCTCTACCAAGGGGCGCACGACTTTTTACCCGAAGCGAGGCCCACTCCACTTCCCTCTCCCCCCCTATTAAGAGGCGTTACTATTTTCTATGCGAAGCGATCAAATAAACATTTTTATACAAACCTTATTATAAAACTTTAATTTGTTATATCTCCTAAACCAATTACAATAATTCTTGTGGGGAATCACTCACCCTTGCAGATAGCAAGTTGCTGTCAATTTGTTTGAAACTTCTTTGCTTAAGTTGCCTTCAATATTTAAGAAAGCGGCTTCTGATCTTGCCTATTAGATTACTGACTTTCATTGTCACTAACTATTATGAGCAATTTGATGATAACACAGTTACTCTCTTATAAACTGATAGTATAATAAGTTGTTAGAAATCACAAGGCAACATGATGGAAACAGTTTCCGCTTAAAATTTTACTCCCATAAGTTGCCAGTAATCTGGCGGCATTTTAACTGAATAAATGTTGTCGAGCTCTGAACGTGAACGAAATGTGATTGAAGTCCTCGGTAAATACGAGGTACGTCCACAAACTAAGTTCCGTTTGTATTTCCTGCCGCCGCAGCGCCGCGAATGCAGTTGAGTGCATGCGCGGTACTTGCCCTGACCCATTGAGAAGGAGTTGACGCCATTTCGGGTTAGTTGAGTGTTGTGTACGCTTCGTGGTGCTTATTTGGAATGGCGAAGTTAATTTAAACCGCCACTTGTGAGATTAGGTCTGTAATTCGTTTCCTCAATGCGAAGAACATTAAACCAGTCCACATTCATCAACAAATCTGTGAGGTGTACGAAGAAAATGTGATGAGTGATTCAATGGTAAGAAGATGGATTAGACAGTTCAATGAAGAACGTGATAATGTGCATGATGATGAACAAAGTGGGCGTCATCATGCACATTATCACGTCCATCATTGAACTGTCTAACCTATTTCCTTACCATTGAATCACTTATCACATTTTCTCCGTACACTTCACAGATTTGTTGATGAATGTGGACTGGTTTAATGTTCTTCGCATTGAGGAAACGAATTACAGACCTAATCTCACAAGTAGTGGGATTTTAAATTAATTTCGCCATTTCAAACAAGCACCACGAAGCGTACACAACACTCAACTAACCCTTCTTCTTCTTCTTTACTTAATGGCTCCCGCCTCCAGATAATAAAAGGAGGTCGATACGGCCAGATCACGTCAAATGGACCGGCCACCTCGAACCGGGCGAGTAATACGAAAAATGATGTAATCGAAATGAAAATAGTGAAATGCTCCCTCAAATACTGGACGCCTGCGGCTACGACGCTTCCACGCCGCACGGCCGCGCGCCAAGACGGATAAGGGGACCGTAAAAGTGAGATATAACGGCTCAAAGCTGGCAAGGCTTTCCAAAAATATTATCGAGGTGATGCAACACCCGAGACAAGAGGAAACGCGTCCGATCCGCTCGAGTGGTCTGACAAGACTGTTCAACTAACCTTAAATGGCGTCAACTCCTCAATGGGTCAAGGCAAGTATCGCGCATGCGCGCAACTGCATTCGCGGCGCTGCGGCGGGAAATACAAACGGAACTTAGTTTGTTTTTCGATTTTCCATTTTGAAATCGGCGCAGAACAAATAATTGTTAACGAAATCGTGCACTTTCTTTTTCTACAACTTTGAACTGTCAGCTGTGAAGTTACATATGGTCCGTTTTCTGTTCCTGCACTAGACTGCACTAGAAGTCTCTTTCTCGCTTTCGACAAATATCAAACTTACACCTATTTTACTTTAAGTTCAAAAGTATATACTGGTTCAGCCACAAAAAACAGACCTATAATAAACAGGGAATGGAAGTTACTTGTAACGAAGTTTTTCAGTTACAAATAACTTTTTTGGTAACTTTATTGGTAACTACGGGTGCTTTCCAGCAAGGACACAATCAGACACGTAACACAGCGTAACACAGTGAATCATTACATCCTTATTGTTTGCTTGCGTTAAACAAGGATGAAACGATTCACTGTGATACACAGTGTCTGATTGTGTCCTTGCTGGAAAGCACTCTACGTTACTTTTTTTGGTAACGTAACGTAGTTACATTTTTTTTGTAATAACGAATTTTACAGTTTTACTTTTATCGTTACTTTGCACACGATTGAACATGATTCAACTGGACACAAGCCACTCATAGCGCTTGAGACTAGAAAACCCCTAGGCACCCGTCCGCTGTAATCGTTGATTTTAAAAAAGTAACGGAAAAGTAACGAAAAGTTACTTTCTCAAGTAACGGTAACTGTAATGAGTTACTTTTAAAAATCAGTAATTAATAACAATAACTTGTTATTTTTTCTATTCAATAACGAGTAACTGTAACTTATTACCTTTAAAAAGTAATTTTCAAGTCCCTGATAATTTGCGTGCTTAAAACGAAATTAGTTATTTTTTAGAATATATATGTCCATGATGCAAGTAAACGCAATTACTTCTTGGCCAACCCAATAATAACACATTTTTGTCGTTTATTTATTTTATTTGTTATTATTTTTATTATTAAATGTTAACATTTTTTAAATGATAATTTTTAAAAATGAGAATTTTAAAAATCTAAATTTTTTTTTATAAGTTCTATAAATATTCAAAATAACTTATGCAAAGTTTCATTGCGATTCACTGATTAGTTACAAAGATATAGAACAAATAAATATTTTGTTTATTTACTGGGCAACTAGTTCATGCAATGTAACTTTATACATAAATAATCTTGAATACATTATTTATTTATATTAAAAAATTGAGCTTTTTGTCATTTATTTTATAATACATTTCCATACATTTTTATTAGAGCACAGATTAAAAAAATATTACCTACTATTTATTAAGGGTGATGAAAAAGTTTGGACGGCTGAAAATTATGTAAAATTTGAATGTCGTTTGTGAGCAAATGAATAAACATAAACTTTGTTTTTAGCATGTTTTGAATGCTTTCTTAATAAATAAGATCATCCACGAAAGTCCATAAAATATGAATGATTGAGAGCAATATTAATATTTAAAGGCGATTACGCGATTTGCGCACTGCTACGTTCTTGCCACGATTTCGCGTAAACAAATTAGAATTTTTCAATTATCTTGGTGCCATTTTATTGGTGAAATTCTAATCTATAAATTGAACCTAAAATCTAAAAATTACAAAAATGGTGGTTAAAAATTAAGAAATGTCGAAAAATTTATGTTATTTATTATTGAAACGGGCTTAAAAATTAAATTTTTGTACGCAAAGGTAAGTTCAGTTTATGGAAAATTTTGTTATCTTTACTTTAAAAAAAATTTTTGAAGTCGATATCTGCAGCCGTTCTTGAGTTATCGTGGCAAGAAGCGGAGCAATACGTAAATCGCGTAGTCGCTTTTAAATTCATCAATATTGCCCTTAATTATTCATATTTCGTGGACTTTCGTGGCTGATTTTATTCGTTAAGAAAGTATTCAAAACATGCTAAAAAGAAAATGTATGTATGTTTATTCATTTGTCCACAAACAACATTCGAATTTTACATAATTTTCAGCCATCCAACTCCAAACCTTTTCATCCCCCTTAACATAACTTATGATCCAAGTAGTAAACCGTCACCAAATTTGTTAATTATTTTTAAATGTGATTTAAATCTGTATTTTTGTTTATAATTTTGTTATCATTTTGAAAATATATATAAAACATCCTTAATCTATTAAAAATACATCGAACATTAACGACCCCTGTTTCCACTAAATGAATACTACAAAAACATACGGCAAGAATTAAAAAATAACATTTTAATATTATAAATTGAAAATTCGCGTTATTCTCTTGCATATTATCGTTACAATTAATTAACAAAAATGGTATAATTAATGCATGTTTCTTCTTACAGGATTCTTCTGACGTCCCAGATTTAATACGGTTAGATTCAATAAACAGCAACGACGATTTCGATCCGCTACTATCTAAATCTTCCGAATTTTCGAGCACAAAACAGATGAGTCAATCATTACATTTACCTGAAATGGGCGAAGGTCTTAGTAACCCCTTGTATCCTTATTTTCAACAACCATCGCACAAAATTAATGACAAGCCAAAGGCCTCCGATAATGTGGGTGATACGGATTTATTACAAGCGTATGGTATAGATTTTAGTAAATTTAACTTATCTAATGGTGATAATTCATCAACAATAAACACTGCTGCTTGTAATCAAAGTGACAACAGTATTAATGATACAATGGACACATTCAGTTTAACATTGGATGCACCTACCATTAAATCACAAAATAATTGGACGAAGTTTGAGTAAATTATGTGTAAGTGCGTGCGCGTGCGTATGTATGTATTGTACATACATACAGGGTAATAATTAAGTACTCTAAAAGATTTTAAGGGGTAATTCCTCACAATCGTCATATTAAATTACGTTGAAAACTTCCATATGACTACATATATATCTGAGACAGCTTAGTTTCAAGAATACAAAATGTCAAAGTTGAAGAAAAAATTTCGTTTTTTCTAAAAATTTTAAAAGCCATTCTATCTATTTTGATGGATAAACAAATATGTTCGGACATATTGTCATATTTTTGGACATCATTTCGGATATATCGTCATATTTTCGTCTTGATTTAGTATGAGAAATCGCCTCTTGAAACCTTTAAAATACTTAATTACTATGTATATATACACACATATTATAATTGTAAATACAGCATTAATATCTTTTTATACATTATGCATTTAGAAATCTTTACATTAAGGGAATGCTGAAGCATGACCGAACTTGATCGACGTCGATAATACAGACTTCCTAAGTAGCTCACAGCGCTTACAAAGCATTAACAAAGCATTAAAATAATATATTGCAACGCTAACTTTTGCATCTAGTATCTACTAAACACAATTAATACTCTGTTTTACTCTTCGCATCGATTTTGTTCATAGTATACAAATGAAATTTTCAAATTCTTCTTTCTCTTATAAAACCTCTAGCTCATTTGTACAAATATAGTATAATTCTATTATCTCTAGTGTGATCTAAGCTTATTTAAAACATACAAGCATATAAGATCTAAAATTATTATATGCAACACATATTGTCAGAACTCGACTGCAGAAACCGATAATAAAACTATAATTTTTTAAATTTCTTGTTTTTTACATATTGTTGTCTGCGCACTGTGTTTTTGTCTAATTTAATTGTGTAGAAAGATTTTTAATTTGAAATCTGTAAATGCAATTAAGAGATTTTTTGGTGGATTAAAAATTAATCACATTTTACTAGTAAAACAGGACTACTCCAGCATCCCCTTGCCTTAAACATTCATATTAATACTAGTATGAGGATCATCTTAGGTGTTACTCAATAACCTCTATAACCTTTTCTACAATCGCAAATGTTGACAACAGATTATATTTACCGATTTGCTGCAAATAGGAAACATACTTTGTTATTACTAGTACTATTAGCAAACTTCCACTAAATACGCTCCCAGATATGCCTAATTCAGACTGGACGCAGCAAGCGTAAAGCAGCGGAGCAGCAACCAACCAACGAGGCGATATTTTTGACGCCACTGTAAATATCTCGCTGCTATTGGTTGCTGCTCTGCTGCTTGATGCTTGCTGCGTCCAGTCTGAAATAGGCAAAATAGCCATATCCTATCGAAAACAAATCTTCTAAAATCTTGCTGCAATTTTGAAGACAAAAAGCGCTAAATTTGATACAAATTTTATTGTACTCAAAACTGTCAGCAAATTTATGATAAGTAAAGAACAAAATCTATTGATAATATGAGATCAAATCGACAAATGCCAAGCAAGGCTTGCAAGTAATTTAACAGTAAGTTGACAGACAAAAGCTGAGCAAACCTTGCTGACCTAACTTTATGGCAAATTGTCGACAAAAATTGAGCAAGATCTGTCATTATCATACGCAATCCCGCCACGAGATGAACTCGCTTCTCGTAAAACGAAAACGTCTAGTATGCGGGATTCTCTAAACGTCTTATCGATGATTGTCGCTATCGTTAACTAGCGACAGTCAATGGTAGCACAATCTGGGACGCGATTCTGTAACTTTTAACGATATTTGTTGGTGTCGCTAACTAGCGACGTTTGTCGCTTGCGCCACCGGCAGAGATGGATCAAGGCTATTCTAGAAATCACATATACCGATACTGATCATTGCAAGCGACATTAATCGGTACAGTACAGCTCATGGAGGACTGGAGAGAGCATTGCGGTGGTGGGGGTATGAATTTTGTAATCGGAAGTGCATCATGGGAGACCACCTATAACGCGACCATCTATACGCCGTAAGTAGCGCTGCAGTCCTCCATGACATCCATGGCATCATGGTTAGCTGTGCGACGTGTTCCTTGACAAAATAAAAAAATTATGGACTTGTTTTTCATTCGTAAGTAATAGTAATAACACTAATGAGCCTTCAACAATAAGCCGCAAGTCAGAACGTCAGAGGTCTTAATCAGTCTTAACCAAGTCGTTCAAGTTGGCTGTTGGCCAATTTCATCGATTATGACTCAAGATCGTTTAGAACTTCTGACTAATTTATGTATGCTCTAAAAGACAATTATTACGATACAATGATCGTAATCTGAAATTCGATTTGAATTTACCTCCTTCAGTTTATTTCCGGTAGCGGCCATCTTGGACCACCTATTAGAATTATACCCTTAACATCGCAATGCTCTCTCCAGTCCTCCACGATACTGCAGCTTTAATGATATTTATCGATAATGTACAAACAGATCAAAATGTAAAGACAAATTTATTTCAGCCAATAGCATTACAGCTCTAAAAGAAATGTAAGCAGTTTTAAGACGTTTAGTATACCATGTATATGTATGACTTGTGTTCTTTCCACGGTTCTTTCTGTGGTTTCCTTCAATTTGCGCGGGCTTATTGTAATTCTTTCAGATATTAACATTAAAGGTTAAAACATTCGATTGTGTGTATTTACTGACTTACTTATTTGTATATGAGCCTCTTAGTTGACAAGTGGCATAAGTCCAAAATTAGGAAAAATGCGTTTATCGTAGAAGTAGAAAGTATTAAGAATGTTTGTTTTATTTACCTTAATTTAATTTATCTTTATTTTATTTTTATATTCATAAAATATAAAAATTAATTTTACATTATAAATAAAGTGACTACAAAAAAAAGCTGGAATAGTGACTTAAGTCCAGCTTATTTTACGGTCATTTTATTTATGATGTAAAATTGATTTTTATTTTTTATGAACATAAAAACAAAATAAAAGTAAATTAAATTAATAGATAAAACAAACATTCTTGATGCTTTCTACTTCTATAACAAACGCATTTTTCCTAATTTTGGACTTATGCCACTTATCAATTAAGGGGCTCATATATATATATATATTAGGTATTAAACTAAATTCCTGCCGTTTTTCGTCTCCAAAATTGATTTGTTTCGAAGGGAAGATGAATACTTTAATCAAAGTAATTTCCTCCATTTTATACTTTATTACTAATTAATAATACTTTATTAATAATACCGACCGTAATAGGCATTTAATTGTCACATATACGGTCTAAAAATATAAATATATTGTTTAGATTACGTCGCCTGAAAGAAAGACGTTGTTTCCTTAGTATACCGATTATTGCGAAGAATATTACTAAGGGCTCGGTAGTCTAATGGCTCAGGACGCTCGTACGGTTTACAAGAGATCCGAGTTCGAGTCCCGGCCGAGGTAATATTTTTTCGTAATAAATTTATTAACAGTTTTAATATATTAACATCTTTATAATATATGATGCTTGATGGTAGCATCAAATTATTAAAATTGCTTGTCAATTTAATTCGCGATTACTAGAGTAGTTTTAATTGCGTTTATTTAATCCGGAAAAATAATTCGGCGCGCAGTTAGAAAAAGACTACAATATGACTATATATGCAAGTACATATATAGTATATATTAGTAATTCAAAATTGAATTATTTTAAAAGCAACGAAGATCCAGCTCCGACCGTAATAGGCATTTAAATTTTTTGTATTGATTGTGTTTCTCACATATACGATCTAAAAATATAAATATATTGTTTATTAATAATACTTTGATTAATTTCCCTTCGAAACAAATCAATTTTGGAATCGAAAAACGGCAGGAATTAAGTTTAACACCTAATATATATAATAAATTGGCACATGATTTCTAGCGTGACTTGCATAGCTCTCTAACTCTATTATTGTATTATTCAACATTATTTAATTATTCATTATTTAATTTGTATTTTTATATAAATAAGAAATAATATATCAAATAATCTCATGTAAAAAAAATACATTGCAAAACATCATCTCTGAAAATTTTACTTAATATAAAATACGTTAAGGCGATGCTAAAGCCTTCTGTTTTACCATATTTCCATTCGGTGAAAAATCTCTGTATTG